AACTTTCTGGGCCAGAGGGGATAGAGTAGCAAGTAGTCTTGAAGCAGACTGACCAGAAAAGCAGTTGATCAGAGCTTCACTTGCCAGAAGGGCAGTCTGTTCAGCCTGCATTCTACAAATGGGAAATGATGTCTCTGCCAAGCTGATGAAAAATCAGCCCAGAACGGCCCTGGGGAGTCAGGAGGCAGTTATATGAGCTGAGAGCCGTCTGGTGAGTTGTGTCATATTTGGTAGGTGACATCAGCCAAGACATGCCGGGAGCTTTTAGACCGGAGTGTGTCCAGACAATTAGGTTATGAACAAAGCTGATGTGACTTTCCCAGCTTGCTTAGCCTGCACCAGGCAGCAGCTACAGCACACACCCACTCACAGCTCTTGCAGGCTTTTAGTGCAGATCCAGAGTAATTTATGAAGGAAATCTCAGTTACTGTGCTTCTCTCCACCTTGTGGGGTGGTCTAGGAGTGTGTGATTGGTTTCCTTCTGGCTAGAAAGCAGCCAGGAGCATATGTTGCAGGCACTCATGTAATACATCCCATCTACAAATGGACATCAGTTGATGGTCCAGGCTAAAGCTGCTCTGAACTGAGACCCACTGCAGCACACAGGTGCTGTGTCCTTGATGCTAACTGTTCTGTTCTGCAGAACCATTCCTGGCTAATATGAACATAGTCCTTATTAGCCTAGTTTTGCTGCCCAACTGCATGCACCCAGCTTATGTTTGGGGTGTTGGGTGGCTGTTGAATTGCTAACTAAATGTTGCACAAGCTGTCTGGCCTTGTAGAGCATCACTCTGAGAACACTGACTCCCTCCTACTTTCCTGTGCAGCCCACGAGACGCCAGGCCTTTCTGCGAAGCGTGAGCATGCCAGCTGACAACACGCGTATACCCTCCCTACCCAACGAGGTGAGGAGACCGGTGCTACAACGGCAGACCTCTATCACCCAGACCATCAAGAGGTGAGAAACTGAATTCGTGGAGCCTGCTTTAGAAGATTCTGTCCTTTATTAGTGGACTTACAGTCCTATGCTTGCCCCATGGCCTGGTACTTCAGAGGTGTATCACAGCAAGATTAGGCTGTCTTTCTTGTTATCTATCATGAGGTTGCAGAAGAGGATGGGTACAAATAGGTCCCCAGTACATAAGCCCATGGGTGCTATATAGCCTGTGTTTAGTTAAGTAAGGAGATAGGTCCTGGGAGGAAGATTGTGGTGATCAGGACAGTGTCACTTAGAGACAAATATTGTCTGTCCCTATTCCCCAGGGAGCTGGCTGTTTCAGAGTAACAGGATACCCCAGGCCATGATGTTTAGCTATGACTGTATGAAGCAGTGAGCTGGCCTTGCTTTGTATCTGAGAGCATATGATTGCTGAGGGAAACAGAAGCCCATCCTAAGCAGTGCATGACTCTCCGCAGATTGGATCCTAGCATTAGTTCATTGATGGTCCTTGAGGTGGTTATGGGGGGTGATGGGGAGTAAGGAGAGGCTGTCTGGGTCCTATCCCCCATGCCTTTACAGAGGGTTATCATTTGTCCCCAAGATCCAGGGTTCTCTGAAACTCAGCCCCAGAGCCGATGCTCCATCCCTCCCAATGGCAAAGGCTTATCCCAGTTTATCCAAAGGGAGTGGCTCTCCCAGCTGCTCTCCTGAGATGCCTGGCTTGTATCTCTGGCAGAGTGTCAGACCTGCCTGGATCCCAGGAGCATCCCTGGAGCTCCACAGGTCAGGGGTACTTCCAGTCAGCTACGTTTCGCCCACTTACAGAGAAGCAACTTTTCAGCTATGGGACTTACCTCCCACACAGTGTTTCCCTTTGCCTCAGACATTCCCCAGCTGTCTTGATAGTGAAGCTCTCCCACAGCAGCTCTCTGTGATCCTGCTTCTTGTGATGTTGGGAGGACTGAGCCATGAAGCAGTATCTGCTGACCTTGTCCCGCTCCTTGCCAGGACAACTGGGAAAGAGCATATCAAGGCTGAGGGGATATCCTGGGATGGTGCTGGAAAGGCCCTGACAAGAAGCATTGTGTGGCAGGGCCATGGTAACCTTCTTCCCCAGAGGTCCTCACAACAACAGCTTTTGTGTAGGGTGGAGAGGTTGGGGAACTGCAAACAACTTTAGTGCTGGGAGAACAAATTTGCTCCCAGTGCTACTATATTATAAGACAGAGGAGGCATATAGAACTACAGTGAGTAAAGGAGGAGTGCTGGATGGTGGTGGTGAAGCTCCAGCTGAGGGAGATGCTAACGTCTTGCCTAGCACTGGGGCAGCAGGCAGACGTGTGGCTGTTGCACCAACAGAGCCTGTGACATCCTGAGAGTCTCCTGCTCAGAGTATGTATGTGGTGGGGTCATTGCTGTTTTGCAGTGCTGATTGTTTCATGCAGGCTGTTGTGCAGCATGGGGGAGATCCAGTGCTCTTCCTCCTGGAGGACTCAGTTTGTGAGCAATGTCTACAGAGTGCTGTGGGATGTGGGTAGGAGAGCAGGTGCAGCAGTGGGAAAGACTTTCCAATGGGCAGAACTGCAGGAAATGCACACATGACATAACATTAGCAATAAAAGCATGAAAGAAGTGAATCAGAAACAGGGATAGGGATCTGGAAAGTACCAAGGGAAGGCCTAAAAGCATGTGCTCTGTTTAGCAGAGGTAGGGAGGCAGTGGGGAATTGCAGACCATGCATCTGTAGAACTATCCTGGAGATTTGTTTCCTGAGTCCAGTGAAGCTGACTGCTAGGTTTTCTGCTTAACACAGCCCTCAGGATGTGAAACTTTTCTGGCAGCAGGACTCCACACCATCTTGTTCCCTGGGGCTTGGAGGATACATTAGGGAGCCTAAGGTCAAGTCTTACAGATGACATGGGAGTTATTCATGTGCCTGAGTATAGCTAACACTACTTCCAGTCTCCTGGGGTATCCAAGATGTCCATGCAAGGCAGCAGACAGATGTGAGACAGGTCCACTGGGCAAGATCCTGTCAGGGTCAGCCCGAAGGGGCCCAGGGCACTTCCTGTGGCAGCAGAAACCTGTATCTGAGCAGATACAAAAGTGTCCAAAGCCAACCAGTGGGATCTGTACCTGGGATTCTGCGCAGAAGGCAGATCATAGAGATCTAGGGGTTGAGGTAGATTGCAGTATCCCTGGTATCTTCAAGAGCAATGGAAGGCGTACGTCAGAGGTGCAGATGCACCAAAAGGATTCAGCAGCCTCCTGAGTTCAAAGGTGCCGTTGTGTGGCTTGAGTTTGGTTGTTTCTCTGAGGTCATGCTCTCAGGTGGAAGCCGCTGTCATGTACTGCTGTGGATGGGGCTATGGAAGAAGATGGGGAAGTGTTGGATGCAGGTGGCTGCTCCCCTGCACAGCCCTACAAGTTCCCTGCCTTCAGCTGTCTTTTCTTTGCAGCAGACAGGTACGGTTTCAGAGGAGTCAGACCCTGCCCGCTCAGGGGCACCGGGTGGGCAGGAGTTCCCTGAGAAAGCGGCAGTCCCTGCCCCGATCGTTTTTCAGGTACTGGTAGCACTGAGTGTGAAACCCACCCCTGCATGTGTGTGCAAGGGCTGTTGTGACCTGCACAGATCCTCTCTGTTGCTGGGACTGTGCTGCCTTCCCAGGGCTGGCCAGGAGGCCTGCAAACAGACTGGAGTGAGAAAGTTCATGTGCGCTTCTAACAAAAACCAATTGTCACTCCTACTAAATGTGTAGGCAGCTGTCAATAAGTAGCATGGACTAACAAGCTGTCCACCCGCCAGCCTCACTCCCTCCTGCCTTTCCTAACAAGCTGTCAACCTCCTGGTGTTCACCACAGCTGGAATATCTCCCCAGGGCAGCCACAGCTCAGCCTGCCTTTGCTAGTATCAATGCAACATGTGGTGTATGCATATGTTGGTCCTAAAGCCTCCTTGGGGCAGAAGGGGAAGGAGAGGAAGCAGCACTGAACAGATGCTAGTTATGTTGGTCCAGACGGGGCTCAGAAGCTGGGAATGGAATAGGACATCCACTCATTCATTGTTGACAATATGGCTTGTTCTAATCCAAATATGACTGTGTTTTCTTTGAGGTAGAGGTCTTCGTTTAGTTAGCACCAAGGAGATGAGGCACTCCAGGAGCCACAATGGCCCATCAACCACCACTCCAAGACTGGAGCTTAGTAGACTTTTAAATGAGACAGAAAATGTGACTTTGTGCACGGCGAGGACTGGACCTAGAGTGGACTGGCTGAGGAGTCCATTCCTGTCCTATCTTCCTCATTCTGGCACTGTGTCCACCTTTGGCAACTGCTTATTGGTTTTAGGCTTTCAGAGCTAGTTAGCTCAGTGCAATAGAAGAGCAAGAGCTGACCTCTGATGCTGGTTTATTCCTTGTTACAGTGCGTAGGGTGTGATGGGGCTCCCCAGCTGGACACAGGCATTCAGTATCTTCCCAGATACCCTAAACCATAGTCAGCTCTCCTGGCCTATCTTGACTATGATCAGAGAGTAGTACAGCCCTTTACTCTGGCCCAGTGTTGTCTATGGCAGTTCAGGAGTGGTCCTTGCAGTACAAAACAGCTGTGGTGGTGCTTGTCCTTCCAGATTAGTGGGAGCACAGTTTCAGAGGACTTTGAGGCTCTGCTGTTGGTAAAATGGGCCATTCATCAAGAGGCTCATATGGCACAAATGACCCTCAAACTTTTTCCGCTGAGGGGATGTATGTATGTATGTATCCCCATACATGGGGATGTATGGACTTGTTACCCAAGGTCACCTTCTTGATGAAATATTGGTTACAGCTGTGTATGAGAAGCCCTCTGAGTTGCAAGACTGTTTTGTGGTGTGTGTTGTGCTGCATCTGCATAGCCAGAGCATCACCTCTGTGCTGTAGGCTTGGTTTGGGTCTGTCAGGCCAGGTGCTGACCCTTCTGCTCCAGAGGGAGATTGCTCTGACGAGATGTGGGTCTGTGGAAGCAGAGCAGTACTCTGAGACATGCCTGTAGCTCTGTGAAGTCTGGCCCCTCTGGACTTGCTGGAGGCATTTGAAGACAGTTGGGTCAGTGAGGTCAGGTGAGATCCAGCAGTTGCCCACGTAACCTCACACTAGCCAAAGGATCTGTTCTGGATCCTCTGGAGAGGCTGAGGGCAATGTGTGCTGGTTTGCATCTGGAGATTTTAGCTGGAAAGGCTGTGGATTTCACATCTTTTTACACGGGGGCAAGACATCTTCACTTGTTGGTTGATGGTTTTTACTTGGTGTTGTACAAAACACGAGAATACTTCCCTGTCTGTAGTGCAGTGACTCAGTTCCCTTGTGTGTGACCTAATTCTAGATTTAATGCAGCCTTTATTCCAGTATATCTTTTCATAATCCCTTTGTGATCTGGGAGGTCTTGCTTCTCAGCAGCTGGAAATCCTGCTCCTGAGCAGGGGGTCTGAGGCCAGGACATGGGATTTGGCTTGGAAGGAGTTTCAGGTTTTGACACCTGGGCCAGACAACTGTAGGCTGACGCAGCTTGTCATCTTCTGAGGAAAAATTAATCACAGTGGGAAAAGGTTGGCAGGGCTGTGCTGATCTTTGTAGGTGTAGGGTATCAGCTGCCCTGCTTTATTTGAAGTAGGTTGTTAGTCTGACTTATTTGCTCCCTCTCTGCCTTCCTTGGGATTTTGCTTCTGATCAACTGCTCTTCTGTGACAGCAGCCACTTGGCAGCAGACCTACCTCAAGGCTGCAACCTTGTGCTCCTGCCTCTGCAACCAGCAGCTTAGAGCTGTGTGTGTTTGCCTTAGCAGAGATCAGGACCAGAGGAAACATTTGTTACCTTTGAGCAGGATAGAAATCCTGCAGCATGAGATGGAGAAGTTGGGAGTATCCTGAGAGTGTGGGGGAGGATGGGGGAGAACAGTGAATTCTGGTGGCTCTTGGGAGAAGCTCCAGAGCCATGGAACAGTGCAATCCCACAATGGTGATGTACAGATGCCCTGGAGATGGTAAGTGTTTTCAATAGATGGGTTTTTAAATTCCACCAAGTTCTTTTCTGAGTTTCTGTTCCATCTCTTTCTTCCTTTTTAGAAAAAATAAGAACAAACTGTTCTTTCCACACAGCAAATCTCCCCTGTCATGTATCTCTCCTGTCATTTTTCTTCTGTCTTAAGAGACAGAATGCTGTTAATGGTTCAACATTTCTGGCCAGCATCTGTCAGGTTGCTAAAACCAGCTGAGGGCAGGCTGTGAGATGCTCATGGGGAAGAATTCTGTGTGTCCTTAAATTGGGCTGGGCTGGAAGAGATCACCAAGGCTTTGGACTTCTCATGTGCGTAGTCCAAGCAAACATAATACCTCTTTGCACTTGTATGCTGGCATCTTTCAGAGGCACAGCGGACTGGTTTGGGGTGAGCAAAGACAGTGACGCTACTCAGAAATGGCAGAGAAAGAGCCTCCGCCACTGCAGTCTGCGGTATGGGAAGCTGAAACCTCAGGTCATCCGAGAAATGGACTTGCCCAGTCAGGACAATATTTCTCTAACAAGCACAGAGACTCCTCCTCCACTGTATGTTGGACCCTGCCAGCTGGGCATGCAAAAGGTGAGTAATCTGGGACAGATTCAAGGCCATCAGGAGTTCCCTGCACAGTGTCTTTACCACTTTGGCAGCTGTGACCTATCTGCGGGCTTAGTTCTGCCTCAACATGTCTGGGCTCTGTGCTCAGACACTTCTCAAGTCTCAGATGCAGTTTGGCAGGCTCCTTCCTTCTCTCAGGTCTCTTTGGCTGAGGTCCCTCAGCTGTTTTGGTGGTAGGCTTAGAGCAGTGTTTGTCATGGTGTGAACTATGGTGGTGATTAGATATGTGCACCATGTCCAAGAGCGCTCAGCTTGGGGGTTTTGCTGCCATTTTTCAAGGGCAGAATTCTGTTGTACACAGATTGGCCAGTACCCTGGACCCAGATACACAGCAACAGACCTGGTATCACTCAGGACAATTGCCTAGTGGATCCTTGACCCAAGCAGAATGCAGGCAGAAGCGCAGCTACTCTCCTCTTATATATCTGGCTGTTTCAAGAATTTGGAAGGTGTCTTTTGTATTAACAGTACTACAGCTCTGCTTACAGGTCCTCACAAATGGTGTTGAGTGCCTGCAAATGGCATCTCCTAATTCCCTCCTCCCTACCTTCAAGTGTGACCCCAGGGAACAAGACCCAGTGAAGCATGTACAGTGACAAGCACTTCAGAACTAAGCCACAATATCCCTCTGCTCCATTCAGTGATAGTAACCCATGGGGTTGATTACTGTGCATTAGTGAGCACCACTGCAACCTGGGCAAGTAGGGAAACAAATGTGAAAGCAGGTTAGTCTGTGACCTGAAGCCTGGCTGTGTCACTGAAGCAGAGCATTTTGTGCATCTTTCAATCAAATTTCACCTTGTTGTGCTCTTTCCTGATTTCTTACTAGCTAATAAGAGTGTCTTGCAGTGTCTTTGGTCATAGGAGACTCAGAAATACTGTTGGGCTCTACCTGGGCTACATGAAATCAGAACATGGTATCAGTAGGTGTAAGCCTATAAAGCTTTGTGTTGAGTGTTCAACTGCAGGTTAAAAAAAAGCTTGTAAAACATTAGAATAAAGCATAGGAGTCTTACAGAAACCACAGCTGTGATGATGTAAGGACAGAGGGAAGGTTTGTGGCTGAGGGCAATATTTTCATTAGGTTGGTTTATATGTTTGGAAGAAGCGAGAGCTTTGGCCTGAAGAGTCCCATAGAAGGGCTTGCAGCTCCTGGAAGGTTGCCTGCTTTTTCCAGCTGTTAGAACTTAATTAATGGAAGCAGATGTAAATATACAGTTAAGCTTCAATAGGATACTGTTTAAGTCCTGGGCTGTCCTGTATCAGAAAGGAAACTAGCTGGAGAAAGAGCATGGCTGTTTCCAGGGATTTCTCAAACTCCTGTTCAGACAGCACATTCTCTGTGGACCTCACTGGCACAGGAGATGAATAGAACCAAGAGCTCAGGAAGGGCTGAAGGAGGTTTGGAGTCTCCTGTAAGCACCGGGAACATTCTGGGTGAAAATAATCAATCACCAACAAAAGAAAAGGCAAAAAAAGGTGGGGAGAAGGGAAGGCAAGGTGAGAGGCTTGAGGGCTTAGGTTTGAGGCTTACAACTAGGGCTTAGCTTGCAACAGGTTATTCCGTGTCTCCCTATCGTGGAATCTTGTTGGTCTGTCCAGCCTGGTTCTTGGTCAGTCCTGGGAACCAGGTCACTGTCATGGTCTCAAGACTTTTGCTTGGAGGGAGGAGGGCTTGGTAGGGAAGGGTTTGGGTGTGAGTGGACTGATGGGCTGCTTCTCTCTGCAGATCATAGACCCCTTGGCCCGCGGCCGAGCTTTTCGCATGGCTGATGACAACGATGGCTTCAGCATCCCACACACACCGATAACACCCGGTGCCACATCGCTCTGCTCCTTCACCAGCTCCCGCTCAGGGTTCAACCGCCTTCCACGGCGGCGGAAACGGGAATCTGTCGCTAAAATGAGTTTCCGAGCAGCTGCAGCTTTGGTGAAGGTACTGTCTGTGGGGGCAGGCACAGGCACCAGTCTGGGGGCGGGATGGAGCTCAGTCCTGAGAGAAGGAAAGAGGGAAGGAGCTTCTGAGTGGAGAGGATGGGAGAGCAGTGGTGGAAGGGAAGAAACTGAGCCTTCTCCTGTTCTGTTTCAGCCACGTGCCTAGGAGGCAGGATTTGCAAAAAGTAGGGATGATAGCTGGTTTTGGTACAGGTATTGTTTTCCCTTTATTGGCCTGAAGGCTTTGATTCCCACAGCCAGCCACCTTAAGAGAGTTCCATCAGGTCCAGTTCAGCCTGCCTGGACCTCTTGGCAGTCCATCTGCAGCTGGTCAGTGATCATGGAAGATCAGAAGTACCTGAGGCTGTTACTGTGCAAGTCTCTTCGTCCTCCCATGTATCTGCTTTCCTGAGCCCAGGGACCTTTTTGCTGTGCCTAGTACCACCTATCACTTTGGTTTGGTCAGCATTGTACAATACATGGTAGAGGAGCACGTTGCAAGCCTCACCACATGGGAGATGGGCACTGTGGATTGAGAAGTGGGGTAACACCTGTGAGTCTCACCAGGAAGGTGCTGTGCATCAGCAGGTCTCCTGTGCTCCACACACAAGTGTGAACCAGCTCAATGCTTGGGCTCCCTGTGGGGTGACCCTGCATGTGCCTGGGGTTCAGATTTCTCAGTGGCTTGATGCAGTTTTCTTCCTGTGGCTGCAGGGGCGCTCAGTGAAGGACAGCACCCTGAGGAGAGCTCAGCGGCGCAGTTTCACCCCAGCAAGTTTCCTGGAGGAGGACACAGTGGATTTTCCAGATGAGCTTGACACTTCTTTCTTTGCTCGGGTGAGGGGCAGGGCTCTGGTGTGGTACTGGCAGCAGAGGCAGTACAGGACTTGAGGTCCAGCAGGACTGCATTGTGGAGAGCAGCACTGCTTTGTGCCAGGGCTGGTGTCTTAATGTGGCGCTGGCTTCTTCTGATGGGACTTCTGTTTCTCTTCCCAGGAAGGAGTCCTTCATGAGGAGCTCTCTACTTACCCAGATGAAGTGTTTGAATCACCATCAGAAGCTGCAATCAAAGATGCAGAGGTGAAACCCCAGGATCAGACAGATCTCACAGGAGGGGCCTTGGACAAAAATGAGCTCGAAAGAAGCCACTTGCTACTGTGAGTATCCTCCTGGAAGCTGCCAAAACCTAACATGGGGTGGCCAACCTGTTCAGAGTGGAATAGTCAGAGAGGAAGCCAGTATCCAAGTACTGTGGTTCAGTGCAGAGCCCAGACCAGTGCAATAATGGGTTTTCTGTAAGGCCAGTTCAAGACCTCCTGCCCCAGCTACCCATGCATGTGAAAGGTGACTCTGAGGCCACCTCTGCAGTCTCTCCAGCAACTTCCAGCCTCACCTAATGTGTTTCAGAGACTGTATCATGCCTTGAAGAAGCAAAAGACACTCTTATTCAGCTGTGAGGATGCTGGGGGCCCAGCCTTCGGCTATGGAGAATGTAGCAAAGACAAGAAGGCTGTTGCCGTTGCCACAGTCACCAGGAGCTGTTGCCTTGCTCCAAGGAGTGGTGTGAAGCATTGCTGAGTGTCGAGCTGGGCTACATTCCTCACTTGAAATGAGAGAAAGGTGTGGCACTGATGCTGAGAGCCCTACAAATATGTGGGTGGTACTGTACCATATGCCTAGATTTTTTCCACCTGAGTAACTGGTACTGAGTAATAGCCCTGTGTTGTTTCCGAGTCAGCTCTAGCTTAGTTGACAGCTCACCCCATCAGAGAGTTCTGCTGGGTGTGAACGTGGAGCAGACAGGGAGGTCCTTGTTGTGGTTCTGCTGTTCACAGCCCATCTTGCTGTGTTGGCGCTTTCCCTTCAAGTGTTTCCAAGAATTTGACTCAGTCTTAACATAAGTGGAAGCGGCAAAAGGTGGGAGTTTGTTGTCACTCCTCTGAGACGGTCTCAGTCTTCTTGTCTCCATTTGCATCTCCTTAAATAGTTTTATTTACTGAGGAAAATGCATTTCTTTCACACTGCAGAGAACTATTACCAGAGTCGTAGTTGGGTGTCCTTTTAGGTGGCTGGGTGTTTATTTTGGCATAGGCAGATAGCCCAGCACTGAAAATATTAGGAACCAGCATGTCCATAGCACAGAAACCACTTGAACTCTTGGGGCAAGAGCAGGCTGCAGTGAAATCTGCACTTTCTGTCAGAGAAGGGCTTCCCAAAGGGAAGCTGGGGCTTTCAGCTTTATAAAAATGCATCTTCTGCAAGGTGCAACCTTGAAAGTAGCTGAAGTTTCACATCAGTATTTTTGGCTGAGGAGGTTCAGATTCTCCCTCGTGTTGTTACTTGTCCATACTTCATGATCCCTCCAAGATGCTGATCTTCTAGAACAAAGTCTGTCAGCTGGATTGTCTGACCACTTCTGAAAACTGTTATCTTTGTGCAGAGGGGGTTGTTTAGAAAGCCAGAGAAGGTAAATTAGACTAGAGTGCGTGTGAGGGACATACCTACCATGTTGCTTGGCAGTGAGCAAAGGTGAAATGGTAGGTAGGGTTTTTTTGGTCAGAGTCTGAATGCTGCAGACCTGACCTACAGACTGCTGTTAAAGAGCAAAGAAACACAAAACCATCTGAATATAGTGAGATTTCCAAAGCAGGTACTGTTCACCAGCAGCTTGTGCAATGTTCATCACATACTCTGTTTTAGACAGTGCTGCTTGGGATTTTTAGTATGTTGTTGAAGCCTGGTTTTGTTATTTTCCCAGGAATGCATGCACTGGTGCAAATAAAGGGAGGAATGGGAGGCAGATTGTGAGAGGTAACTGGCACAGCTTACAGTACGTGACAGTGTCACTTTCTTGGTCAGGGAAGCTGCTTGGATTCCTGCTCTTCTCCTCTGTCTGATTTGGTGTGCATGGGGGTTTAACTTGCCAGCTCAGTCACAGTAAAGTGCTTTAGGAGTAGGGATTTCCAATGCTGGGCTAAACTATGCTTCCATTTCATAGCAGAGGGTAGAGTAAGAGGAATGAAGCAGAGGAAGAAATAGATGTGTGTGAGGCTGCAGATGTGCCCAGATGCAGCCTCCCCATTTTATCCTGTTGCTGAAACAGTTCTTTAAAGCCTTGAGAGCTCCTCATTGATGGGGCTTAGTGTGGCACAGCTGCCTTATATGCCTTCAGTGTGCAGTCCTGCACTTGCAGCAACTGACACTGGGTAACCCTTTGAAATACAGCTTCTACTCCATGGCATCTTGTCTGCCATTAGCTGCTGCTCAGCTCAGCTGTGGTGGGAAAGACAGGGTCTGCTGCCACCAAAGACCAGGGAAGGGCTGATCCCCATTGCTGTGCCATGCAGAAGGAAACCACTGCTATCCCGGTTTTTATTGCAGCCCACTGGAGCGAGGCTGGAGGAAGCAGAAGGATGGGGCCCTGGCACAGCCCAAGGTCCGCTTGCGGCAGGAGGTGGTGAGTGTCAGCCCACAGAAGCGTGGCCAGCGCATAGCTGTCCCTGTCAGGAAGCTCTTTGCCAAGGAGAAGAGGCCGTATGGCCTGGGCATGGTGGGGAAGCTGACGAACCGCACATACCGCAAACGCATCGACAGCTATGTCAAGCGGCAGATCGAGGACATGGATGATCACAGGTGAGAGCTGCAGTCATAGACTCAGTCCCAACAAAACCAGTAATCTACTGCTGTTGTCCCCTGGTGACTTAGGCCACTGCCTCCGGGTGGTTGGGTGAAACTGCTGCTAAGACTCTCCCCCAGTCTCCCCATTGAAGTACAGTGCATGTTAGCATCACCATGCACTGGGAGCTCACCCTGCTCCTCACACTGCGTTAGGTGTCTGTATCTCTGCTACCTGGAGGGCCTGCAGATCTCTGCCCCACCACCACTGTCCTGCAGAACAGGAAGGCTCTGAATCCCTGCCTCTGATCATTCTCCTAAAGTCATTATTTCAGACACACAACACACTTTGGCATCAGGCTTATGTGTTTTCATGGATGTTTTCTTGGAAAAAGGTGGCTTGCCCAGTGTAATGGGGGAGTTGGAGTAAATGGGGTCTGTGCCAGCAAGACCTTATGTCATTGCCTCCAATCCTGTGCATCCCTAGATCCTGGCCATGTACCTTAGATTCTGTTAAGGTTCCTGGGAAAAAAAAAAAAAGCTTTTCTCCTGTATTCTATGAGTAGGTGTAATGTGCCTCGGTTTCTGCCTCTGATCTTTTCCTTTTTCCTTCATCCAGGCCTTTCTTCACTTATTGGGTCACCTTTGTGCATTCACTCATTACCATCCTCGCTGTGTGCATCTACGGCATTGCCCCTGTGGGGTTCTCGCAACATGAAACTGTTGATTCAGTAAGTAAATTCCCCTGTCTTGCCAGAAGTGTGATTGTGTTGTAGTCTGCAGCATATTGGCTACTTGTCTGATGGCTTTGACAGCTGAATGCTGGGTATCCGTGCTTGGGGGCTGCCTGCAGCATCTCTGCGAGCCCCCGTGCTGCCTTGTACCTCCTGCAGCCACATTGCTCTGACATCAAATTATAACTGGCACAAATCATGGTGGGCTCTTTGCAGGCTCTAGTTGTGTCTGCACTGGGAGCATTTTCAAACTACCTGTTCCCCTTCTGGTGACCAGAAGGATGTTCATAGCAGGGAAATATTTCAAACCTAAGTTTTTACAAAAGTTGCAGGATTTTTCTTCTGCCAGGAGAAAAACTGACCTGTCTGACTGTGAGAGCTGATCTTGAAGCTGTTTGTAGCCTTCCCACTGTTGGTAAAGGTCTCTGAGGTACATATCTCTACAGCTGTGTCCTCACTCCATGCAGGGGATGCCCTGGGGAGCTTCTCGCCTACGTATCTGACAGTTTTCAGAGCACTGTCACCAGCACCTGGGCCTATGCTGCCAACAAATGCTGCTTGTGCTTCTGAGCTGTGAAGCTTTTTGCAGGCTCTCAAGCCACCCCCATGTCTCCAGGCCCAGGGATTTCTTGAAGTAGCCAAAGATAGACATTTTAAATGAAATCTTAAGATGAAGATGCTCGTGCCGTGATGGGGGTTTATCTGTGATCCTGCAAAAGACCAGTTTGAGAGAACCGTGCACCCAGTCTGTGGCTGTGGGGATTTCTGTTCATCCTGGGTGCTGTTTCCAGCAGCCCCTGCTGCCTACCCTGCTCCCCTGTGTGCAGGAGCTCATGGGGCTCTCACTTTCTCTCCTTGCAGGTCTTACGAAACAGAGGGGTTTATGAAAATGTCAAATACGTTCAGCAGGAAAACTTCTGGATTGGCCCCAGCTCAGTGAGTGCCATTGCCCGGAACTGCTGGTGGGCTGATGGGGAACTGCATGCTGCAGCCGTGCCACTCCAGGGTTGGAGCTTGATGCTCACTAGTTGGACCTCCCATAGAGCCTGCTGTCATTGACAGGGTGCAGGTGGTGCTTTTGGCCCCAACCATCTGAAGAATGGATTACCTGGAGATTGGGCCCTGGCACTCCTGCTTTGTACCCTGTTCCTGCAAAGCCAAGCATGGGCTAGAGAAAATGCAGGAGTTCTATGGGGTGTGACAGCTTTCTGACACCATTCCCCCTAGGAATGGCTATTGTGTCCCATTTTCCCTGCCCAGCCACAGCACTGGCCTTTCCGGGGTCATGGACAAGGAAAGCCCTGAACTTTTGTTGTGGGCTTGACTTCTTCAAAGTGAATACTGAGAGTATGTCTGAAGTTGAGCTTCATCGTGTAGGGCTTGTCCCTGGTCCCTTGAGTCCTGATAGGGGTACCCCTTGCAGTTCCCCCGGCCTGCTCTGTCCCAGCCAATCATTGCCTGCCCATGGCTTAGCTGAGTGTTTCCATCTCTGCCAGGAGGCCCTGATCCACCTCGGGGCCAAGTTCTCACCGTGCATGAGGCAGGACCAGCAAGTGCACAGCTTCATCAGTGCCAAGCGGGAGAAGGAGAAGCACTCTGCTTGCTGTGTGCGGAATGACAAATCGGGCTGTGTGCAGACCTCAGAGGAGGAGTGCTCTGTGAGTGTGGTGGCCCTTTTGTGTTGTCCCTGCAGGCTCAGGGACGCTTCTGTTGATGTTTCTCCCACTCTGGGCTATATGGTGACAGCTCTCCTCTTTTCCTGCAGTCCACGCTGGCCGTGTGGGTGAAGTGGCCCCATCACCCCAGCACACCGATGTTGGCAGGAAACAAGAGGCAGTTTGGGTCTGTTTGTCATCAGGACCCCAGGTAGGTCCTGATTAGCCCAGCTGCCATCCTGTGGGGACAAGGTTGCTGTGACAGTACAGTCAGAGGCATGAAGTCCCACAGCAGCTGGTTGCTGGATGGGGTAGCAGCTGCTCTGGAGACCAAGGGGCAGGTCACTAATGTCCCTGCTTGTCCCAACAGCTTCAGGGGGGCCAAGGCAGAGCATGATATTTCTGCTTACCCCTAATCTCCATTGTTGTTGACTGCTTGCCTGCACAGTGGCCTGTTGTGAGCTATGGGTGCCTTTCTCATCCCTCTCCCCCTCCTCACCTGCTCCCCACACAAGCTTCCTTTCTGGGGTACAGCAGTCACTTTCCCAGCACACCTCTGCCCCAGAGCCCTGCTGGGTGCCATGGCACACCTTTGTCCTCAGTCACCATGGGCTGATGTAGAGCTGAGACCTGCTGAATGCCCCCCTTTGGAATTGTGTCCACCTGGGAAGGAACCAGTTCTGGGCACCTGTGTACTTTCAGATGGCTGCCTTTGTGCTGTGGAGCCATGATCTCTGCTCGCTGGAAGGAGGCTGCAGCTTTGATCAGCACAGCCTTTGCTGATCTGATGTAGCATATCACCAGCCCTTTGCCAGGGACAGAGGGGAGCTGTGGGCCCACAGCCTGGGCGCAAGGACAGTGTGGTGGTTCCTGGGGGCATCTGGTGCTGGGGAGTTATTTCCCAGGCTGATCTCTGCTTTGTGTTGCTGCAGGGTGTGTGAGCAGCCAGCCTCGATGGAGCCACATGAGTGGCCAGATGACATCACCAAATGGCCGGTGAGCATTGCTGGTGGCACAGAGCATGTTTGGGCAGCTGGAACATGGCATTTGCATCCCACTGTGCAGAGCCACAGCTGTATTGGTGGAAGGGCAGGGGCTCTGGTGCAGCCTCCTGCTTGTTGTCACAGACACCGGATCAGGACAGCCATGGCTTTGTCTAGCCAAGGCTTAAAGCCCTCTAACAGCTAAAGTTCCTCTGTGCCAGCTAAAGCTCTGGGCCCTGGCAGGGTAACAGAAGGATGGAGACCAACTGGGCCTCAGGGCTGTTTTTTGTCCTTGACAGAGATGAGGTGTTGATTGTGGCTTGGGCAGATGGAGTGTCAGGCACTATCCTACTGTCACAGGGAGGCCTTGGGAGCACTGGCTTCTTCCCAAGGGGCCATGTTGACTTTACCCAGGCAGCAAGCAAAGCCATGGCTGCCTGACTGCAGCCTGTTGTCATTTTGCAGATCTGCACAAAAAACAGTGCTGGGAATTACACCAACCACCTTCACATGGACTGTGTGATTACAGGCCGGCCCTGCTGCATTGGGACCAAAGGAAGGTAATGAGTTTCACCTGTATGGAGAGGGGCTGGGTGTTGGGGTGAGACACAGCGTGCCCTTTCCAGTTTGTAGATGCAGCCATTTGTCCTCCTTGGCCTTCCCACATGCAGCCCAGAACCCTGTTAGGAAGGGGAGTTGGGCAGAGAGCCATAACAAGGTCTCCCAGATGGAGAAGGGCTCTGGGATGAGCAGGGGATAACAGCCAGACTGAGTCTTCAGTGCAGTAGGGTATCTCACTAAACTGATCCTTGCAGTCTGGAGGGACTCAGATCCCAAGGGATTAAATACTTCCACTGGGGAGTTCTGTGCTTTTTCTTGGGAATGGCCAGCTTGGTTCCAATAGGCTACATTGGCTGCAGTGTGGAGTCCCTGAGCACTCCAGGAGATGCCGGGAAACAACCTGCTGTGGTTTGCCAGGGAGGAAGATGCTGTGCTTCCTCGCATTGCTTCTCAGCTTGACTAGTTACCCTGTGCTTTGGCCTGGCTTTTCCTGCTAGGATGAAAAATCAGTGCTGCTCCAAGAAGTTTCTCTCCACGAAAGTCATGACCAGGACACCCTTCGCCTAGCTCCCCCTTTCCACTGTGCCAGTTATGGAGGCACAAGATTCCCCCAGGCCCAGAGACACAGCTTCCCAGAGCTCTAGTGGCTCTTTCTCAGCTGAAAATAGCTCAGCTTTAGGACCTGTTTTGGAGCCCCTGTATGCAGGGCATTAGTCTGTGAAGGTCACTCAGGCTTGCCTGTGGGAGAGAAGCAAGAGGGGTCGGTGGGGAGTAGCACTGGCCTCAGGTTGGGAATGTGTTAGTGCATCTGCTGCAGAGACACTACAGCACATCAGGGACAGCTGAAGGCGTCAGTTCTCATAGGCAGATCATGGGATGAGACAACGGGGAGTGGGTCATCTGGGAGGGCACAGGATGGTCTGTTGCACCTTCCATGTGTGTGATTTTTGGTTTTCCTTATTCTGATTACTTGTGCCTCCTCCAGGTGTGAAATAACCTCCCGGGAATATTGTGAATTTATGCGGGGCTATTTCCATGAAGAAGCAACACTCTGCTCTCAAGTAAGTGAAGAGTCGGGGGGGTTATATGGCTGCCTTTTCCCCTCCTGTTCCCCTTAGTGGCTTGGCAAGATCTAGGGGCAGTTGTGCTGGAGTGTGATTGGGAGTCGTGTGTCCCATCCCACTTGGAGTCTGGGGAAGTTGATGATCCAGACTGTAGTGGCAGAGCTGGCTGCCACTACAGCCAGCTGTCCCTCATTGAAGACCAGTTTAGGACTTGGACTGAAGCAGTGGCAGAACTGAACCTTCTTGCTGCATTGGTGAGCAAGTGCAGTGTCTCAGTTGTGCATGTGTTGGGGTGAAGAATGGGGGCATAAAGCTGCCACAGGGAATGGGTCATGTGTAATGGTGTTGGAGACAAGGACTGGGACTTGATATAGCAGTGGGAGGAGAGCCCTTTCAGAACTCACTGCAGTCTCTGCAGTAGGTTTTGTAAAGAGCCATGCTGGCTGGCTCTTCACAACCACACTTCTGCCCTAGGTGCACTGCATGGATGACGTCTGTGGACTTCTCCCTTTCTTAAATCCAGAAGTCCCTGACCAGTTCTACCGCCTCTGGCTCTCACTTTTCCTCCATGCTGGGTAAGTGTAGGTGTAAAACTTGCATTATCTGGGTGAGGGAACCCTGAACACGGGGATTGCTATGAGGCTTGTTTTGGTAGTCCCTTCCTTGGGAGACAGAGGGGTTGCTGAGCTGCTGTCCCTGCTGAGGTTTACCATGCTGTGTTTGCTGGGAGGGATATTAGTGGTGTGGGTGAGGCCAGACCAGGCTCAGCAAAGAACACAAGCACAGGGGTGACTTCAGTGTCTGCTGCTTCAGCTCCTGTACTCTGAACTTGGCAGGATCCTGCACTGTCTGGTTTCAGTCTGTTTCCAAATGACGATCCTGCGGGACCTAGAGAAGCTGGCAGGATGGCATCGCATCTCTATCATCTACCTTCTCAGTGGCATCACTGGGAACCTTGCCAGTGCAATATTTCTACCCTACAGAGCAGAGGTGGGTCTCCTGCAGACTAGGGTCCTGGTAACTTACCATGAACACAAGCCTTCTGTACATGCCTGTGCCCCTCTGCCAGAGGCAGAGACACCAGAGCTGGGTTCAGTCTCTGCAGCACGTGCGTTGTGCATCTAGCTGCTGAACAGCAACACCCCCAGAGTACTTGGGCTTTCCAAGTGACTGGCCCAGTCTGACCACAGTAAGAAGGCTGCCTCTTGTAATGAGTGGGGGGTTTGTCCAACCACAGTGTAAGAGAGGGCCCTGACAGGCTGGGAACTGAGAGGTGTAGCTAGTGCCAGAGTCCCTCCACGTGTGAGTGGCAGGCAGGAGAGGGGCAAGGAGCAGAGCTCACCTTTCCCACAGACTGTCTAGGACTGTCCCTGTCCACATGCCACAGCTGGAAAAGTCTGGATTTGACTCTCTGTCTTCAGAAGGCTGTGTGGCAGAACCTGGAGGACTATCTTCCAGGTACTTTAGATAAGGAAAATTGCCTGGTGGGAGTCAAGAGACTGCCCTCAAGGGCTTCTCCCTTCTGGTGACTTGAACCAGATCTGTCCTCCTTCAGTAGAAAGTCTGTTCTGGGGATTGCTGGCCTCACGCTTACCTTGATCCTAAATCAAACCTGGCTCCTTTATAACGGGTTCAGTGAGTAAGAATGAAGTTGCAGACTGCAGCATCTCTTTCCCTAGCAACTCTGAGCAAGGACCTGAATGACTCATAACTGTAATGCCTGGGGCTGGCTGCAGAAGCCAGGCAGATGGCATGTGACTGATGTTACCTGTAATGCTCTTCTTTTGCAGGTTGGCCCTGCAGGATCCCAGTTTGGGATTCTGGCCTGCCTCTTTGTGGAGCTCTTCCAGAGTTGGCAAATCCTGGCACGCCCATGGAGGGCTTTCTTCAAGCTGCTGGCTGTGGTGCTCTTTCTCTTTGCATTTGGCCTCCTGCCTTGGATTGATAATTTTGCTCACATTTCAGGATTTATCAGTGGTTTCTTCCTCTCCTTTGCCTTCCTGCCCTACATTAGCTTTGGGAAGTTTGATTTATATAGGAAGCGATGCCAAATTATAATTTTCCAGCTCATCTTCATTGCACTCTTCTCAGGACTGGTGATTCTGTTCTATTTCTACCCCATCAAGTGCGAGTGGTGCGAGTTCCTCACCTGTATACCATTCACAGACAAATTCTGCGAGAAATACGACCTGGACGCACAGCTCCACTGAAAGGCAAAGGCTGGCTTCTCGAGCAGGCACTGGAGAGAGATGTCTTTGCGTTTGCTGTGCCAGTTCCATGTGGACAAAGCCTCTAATCCAATGACACTTCTAACCCTGCCCATGGTTAATTTAAACTGTCTCCTTAGCACTTGGCAGGCATGTTTTTGCCTTATCTCAGAAGACTCTGAAAACGGAACATTTGTGCCTTGTTCAATTGTATTGAACCTTTTTTGCTGCCATTATTTTTATTACACTAGTTTCAATACTACATTTTTAACCAGAGTTGTTTACTACTGCTGAGGTGGTGATTAAATGGTAAGGTAGCGTTTTAGCTACTGTTAATTGTTCTGCATAGTCTGTGGCTATGTTTGTTACTTTATCTCAGCTGTGCTGTTTCATGTACCACTAGAATCAATCCTTTCTAGCACCTGACAGACCTGCAGCTGGAAATAAGAGCCTCAAAAGCCTCAGGAAAAAAAAAAAGAAAGCCTCTTTAATCACTGCAAGTGCATTCCACTTAGAGCTCAGAGACAGACATTTCAAATAGCAACTGCAAAAAATGTCCATTTCAACTGGAATTTGTTTCTATTTGATGTTACCACCTTCTCCTCCAGGCCAGCGCCGGACCCCCGCTGCTCTTGGTAGGGCTGGATTCTCTGTGTGCTCTGTTAAAGAAACAATGTATTTGGCAGTGACAATAGTTACTGCATGCTGGGCTCTCTTATCACCACACCTCCATTGGGGTGGATCAGCCAGTGCCATAGGTCACTGCTGGTCACAGGCACCAGGGGGCAGATGGCTTCTGGTTACAGCACACATTTGATTACACTGGATGCGTTTAAAGAAGAAAAAAGGTTACTGTGGTCACAAAGCAACAGTTTCTAACGCAGCTACCTGGAGCCGCAAAACAAAACCCCAAGCGTTTGGAAAAGCTGCTCTTGGCACTACTCCTCAGCCACTGTGCCCGTTATTTTCAGATGTGGAGAGGAAGCAGAGATGATTTTAAAATAACTAAGCTGGAGTCTCAGCCACATCTTGTGTTTGTGTGCACAACTTTATAAAAATAGCAGCATAATACCAGAATCATGTCTATATAGATTACAAACAGGTTATTACACGTGCTGCTAGTGCTTCCTGTTGAGTGCATCAGCTGCACAGAAATATCATGACCATAAGTCTCATGGTGTGTCCTGTCTTCTGAGAACAATTACTTGGTTGAACTCTGGTTTCTATAAACCAGAAACAGAGAAACTGGAAGTCAAACCCTACAGGATCTGTAAGCTGACATCTCTCTTCCTAATTCCTTGTTGTAATTGAGAAAAATGGCTCAAGATACACTCACAATGGAACAGCAAAAAACGTGCTCTGTTTGCTTGCTGCATTTGCTTATGTGTACCCACGGGACATTTCTGTTAGTTACAGGTGCTCTGAATGGTACAGGAGCACTCGGAGCAGGGTGGGAGAACAGCCATGTGGGTATGAGAGCCTGAGGCACACAAAAGGACCCAGATGACCTGAGTGATAGCAATTGCCTATAGCAATGTAGGGATGAGTTAGCACCCAGCCACATTCCTGGCAGTGATTTACAGATATTCAAGAAGGCTAAAATTAACGCCTTAGAAGCAATCAAACCAGCAAAAGAACACTGCATTTAATGAGTGTCAAGACATGGCTAGAGCAGATTCAGAGTCTAAACATAAAGTAGGGATAGAGGTACATCACTGCCAGCACCAAGATGCTGCTGCTGCTGTGTGTTAACTGAAGTAGCTGAATCGTTGTTCTCTGGCCAGAGAAAAATATGCACAACACAACCAGGATATGGAAACAGATCACAGACAGAGTGCAAGCCTAACTCAGACACATGCCTTCAGTAATGCCCTGGCTGCTGAGCTGGACCACTAAGGCCTGGGGAAGAGACAGATGAAGAAGCAGTAGCTCTAATGGATGTTCAGGACTTACCTGACAGGTTACTTTCGAAGCTTCTTTATGAAGCTGACCTCATCCCGGTTTCTGATGCCATACCTGAAGGACAGTTAATGCTGTTATGTGCCAGTTAACCAGGAGCCACAACCTTTGAAAGCCTATAGCTTCCTCTTTTCCAGGGCAAGATGGACTCAACATGCTTGCTATGCTCTAATGCAGGACGTTTTATTTGTGTATGTAGAACACGCTGCCAGCACTAAGGATCTGGTTATCTGCCTTTCTAACTGCAACAACACCTTAAATCTATTGCCCATGGCTCAGTCTTTTGAGGAAAGCTTTTAGTGGTTGCTAAATTTTTAGTACTTCAGACAAGCTTGTCCTGCTGGTCTGCACACAGGCTGGCATACCCAGCACTGCTGTGTGCAGCTGCTAGAGTGCTCAGAAGCACCTCCTGCCTCCTTGCCCTGAGAACAGGCATGGAAACATGGGAGTTACTTGTAAGCAGTGTTACTAGGTCCTCTCTGTGGCTGAGCAAGTCCAGATCCCAACACTCTTTGCCTGGCATTCTTCCCTCTTCCTCCCTACCTCAGCAGCTCTGCCTAGCCCTCTGTGAGGGTGATGGGAGCACTGGCACAAGTTGTCCAGGGTTCCTTCCATTCCTGGTCCCTTCCACAATACAATGTGACCTGACCCCATCCCCTGCTGAGTAGCTGCTCCCCAGGTGCTCCCAGTTTCCCTGGGAGTTGAACTTAACCTGCTTTATGCACAGGACACCATCCCTGACCTTCTCTGTGTTCTACTCTTAAGTACCTTGGTGTGATTTGGAGGAATACACCTTGCACAGGAGGGCTGTGACTGAGGAACTGCCTGAGGCCTTCCTGTCCTGCAGATGATCTGCCAGGGCAGGGCCTGTCCCACCTCTGTGTGCAGTGCTGGTCCTGTTCAAGTGCAGGAGCTACCAGAGCCAGGCACAAAGTCCCAGGGTTGGGTGTGCTCCAGCGCGGCCCCTCCAGCCCCCAGAAGAGACTGTTACTCACTCTCGCAGCTTCTTTCTATCATCTGCCAGCTTCTCTCCGCCGTAGGTTAAATGGTACGTCCTCCAGATGTACTTCCTAGGGCAAAACCGCTTAGGCCACCGGGGAGCGCTGCAGGCGGGTGGGTGCGTGCAGCCGGAGCCCCCCGCCCCGCTCACCAGCTGAGGTGCTGCACGCCGCCCTGCCGGGCCTGCCGCAGCTGGACGTGCCGCCGCAGCGCCTTCTTCAGGTCCAGCACCGAGGCGTTCTGCACCACCACCACGGCTGCGGAGGGGCAAGAGCCCTGTCAGCGCCCGGCCCGCGGCCCCGGCCCACTCCCGCCCCCCGGCCCCGGGACGCACGCATGGTCTCGCCGTCCGCTTTGCAGACGCGCACGGTCATGGCCTGCCCGTACTCCAGCGCCACCTGCGAGCCGATCTCCTCCGCCGTCACCTGCGGGCGGCACGGCCGCGGCCGGAGAGTGAGGCGGGCCTGAGCCCCGCCACCGCTACCCCGGCCTTCGCCCGGCCCCCGGCGGCCCCGGCCCTACCTGCGGCGGGAGGTCACAGAGCAGCGGGTCCTGCACCAGGCGCGCAAGCGCCTCCTGGAAGAGCTCCAGCACCTCAGCGTGCGCCAGCTCCTCCTCGGGCTCCGCCGCCGCCGCCGCCGCCATCGTCGCGCCGGAAGGGGCGGCCGGCGCCGCGGAACTGGCGATGCTGCTCTTCTGCCCGGCCTGCGGCAACGTGCTGGTGGCCGAAGAGGGGCCGCGCTGCCACCGCTTCGCCTGCACCACCTGCCCCTACGTGCGCAACGTCACGAGGAAGGTGCCGGGCGGGCAGGGCGCGGGGCAGGGGGGGCTGGCGCGGGGTCGGGCCCTGACTGACCGGCGGCGTCCCGCAGGTGACGAGCAGGAAGTACCCGCGGCTCAAGGAGGTGGACGATGTGCTGGGCGGCGCCGCGGCCTGGGAGAACGTGGACTCCACCGCAGGTAGGGACGGGACGGGACGGGACGGGGAACGAGGGTGGTGAAGGAGCGGGCCTCACCTCACGGCGCCGCGCCTCGTCCCGCAGAGCCGTGCCCCAAGTGCGAGCACCCCCGCGCCTACTTCATGCAGATCCAGACGCGCTCGGCCGACGAGCCCATGACCACCTTCTACAAGTGCTGCAACGCGCAGTGCGGGCACCGGTGGCGGGACTGAGGGCGCCGGCCCGCTCCCGCCTCTGGGCCGAGGGAAGAGGCGCGGCCCAGGCCCGATGGGATTTGGGGAGGAAAAGGGGGAGTCTGCTGCAATAAACATGACACTGGGTGTAAGGAACTGTGTGCTGTGGTTGCTTTAAAACTGTCCTCGGTAGAGCTGACACACTGCTGAAAGCGGCACAGGGGAGGGGTGCAGGGCCCTGACCTCACACAGCACAGCGGTCTGCTAAAACCAGATGATAATGTAATACCACATATGCCAAGAAATCAGTGTGTAAAATACAGAGAAACCTTTCGTTTACTTATCTTACCTACCTTAGCACAGAGCCAGCTGCCAGGTGGAAGGAAAAGCAAAAGTGAGTGGTTACTGCTGTGATCCTAAAGGGACAGGGAAAAAGAAAAAGGAGCCTTTGCTATCATGTGAAAACCCTGTACGGTAAAGGAGCAATGACGAACTAACTGCATGCTCTACAAGCAGTCACTGGTAAAAAGAGAAGGTACTGAAAGTGGGACCAAATAAATACACCTTCGTCTTAACATTAAGCTTTATTCTCATCTTAAATACATTCACAAGTAAAAAGGATAAATAACTTAATTAAAAACACGATGGAGCGCAAATTGTCATATTTACACTCCTACAGGCTAAAACCATTTAACAGGGCTCAGCTTTGCCTCTTTTACACAGAGATAATCTGCACCCATTTATTCCAGTTCATTTCAGAGGGGAACACTCTTCCCAGCCTAAGAGTACAGTCTACCGTAGGCTCATAGTATACTGTTGGGGTTTCGCTCAGTTTGGGATTGTTTAGCTGTTCTTCAATAACTGGCTGAGAAAAGAGCGACACTGGGGATGGCTTTTTCATGTAGAATCGTGTGATGCAGCCGAGAGTTTCCAGACCCTGCAGAAAAATTCACACCTTTAGCTTGAGCAAGTGTGGTAAAAACAAATGCACTGAACACTGTTCTACCTACGGTGTTCTGAGAAATGTTGGACAATTTATACCAATTTCCACTACAAGTGGCTTCGTTTCACCCCCTCAGGTGAAGTGCCATCCCCCAAGTTCACAGCAAAGCAAGTTCCCATAGCTGGATAGATGCTTTCTTACAGATGTTAACGCAGTGGCTGACATTTGGCTGCTGAGACAGAACATGCATTCAACAACGTATTTCAACACTGAGGACCAGTTGCAAATGATTGCAGGCCGAATCAATGTAAATCCCAGACTCTGGGGTCAGTTCTTGCTAATGGGTTAGCACTTACTCCCATAGCACCACCCACCAAGGTCATTTATGTGCTCTATTTGCTGAAAACACCTGGTGTGTATTCAATCATTTTACATAGGTATGCACCTAGATTTACTAATATTTGGTATATTACACATACAAGCTCTGTCTGCGGTTTCAAAGCCAGGTCTTACCAAGTTTATTGGTAGAGAAGTTAGATTCAAGTCCTCCAGTCTGTAAAATGTACAGGTAACTGCTTGTTTTTGTGGATTTGAATTAAAATTGCTGAGGAATCTGTACTCATTCCCACATATGCATGCCTCACCACTGTACATTCTACTGCAGTTTTAAACCTGTCCCCTCGTCCCAGCTTCCCTCCTGGTAGTGCTGCTCCAGCACAGGACCTACGGACAAGCTGTGCCGGAACACCTGGGAAACAGGATGGTAGGGTACACAACTTGCCTTGTTACCAAAAAGTACAAGCCTTTGGACAAAAGTGTGGCATACGTATGATGGAAGACTGATTTCCAGCATTAGCAGGGGAAGTCATACTTATGGGAAGGACTGCAATATTACTGCTATGCTTAAGATTTTGAATACTTACAGAAAAAAAAAAATACAAATAAAGGTTTCACTTGCAAAATAGTGGTGGTGGCAATCAAACTTCAGGATGTGGGGAAAAGATGAGACACTCTAATTTTTCTCTCCATGTAACATTTTATAATTAAGGAAAAGTGCCTCTAAGCAGGTCTGTCAGGACAGAAGGTCTTATTTACAGTGCTGTCTAGCACAGACACAGCTCAGTCTGATTCTTACATTAAAGATTACTCATCTGAAAGGTGTATAAGGGAAAAACAAAGCTAAACTCTAGTGATTTAACATTGTATTAAGCAGTCCAGTTTGTTACTTCACAATGACAAGCCGCCACTCTTCAGAAACCAACTAGAACTTTAACTGCATGTACACTGTTTCAGAATCAAGCTCAGATTTTAAAATCAGCCATATGGTCATTCCAGTGACAGGTAAAGCAGGTTTCCTTTCTCCCTCATTGTGAACAGTAACTTGCTCTGGCTTTAGTTAATTTAGGAAGAGGAGAGGGTTTTTTTATGGTTTGTTCAGAATCCCGTTTTCCTGGGACTTCCAGCAAAGTAGTTGCTGACTCCTCTGTGTGGAAGCTGAACCAGATTAAAGTTCACACAGCTGGTGCTTCACATACCTGCAGTATCTCTAGGACAGCAACAGGCTGCAGTACGCCCATGTAATGCTGCAGCAGCGCACCTTCTGTTATGCCTGGTTTTGTCATGATGTGGTAGAGCACAGCTTCCATCATCCCTTTACACACAGGTTTATTCAGGTTCCCATCCACAATCCTCCATGGTCTCCCAATGAAGCAGACATTCTCGCAGGCCCTGCAGAAGACAATTTAAGTTCAGCTCCATCAGGACTTAGTTCTTCCAACTAGATTTCCCATCACTATTTCTGCATAATATATTCTTACTACATCCATTGCCAGTGTTGGCTCATGTGCTAGGTGTAAATTCTGTAGCTGCTCTGGGCAGAGTCTGGTGCTAAACTATCAGACAGTTCTCTACAGACCTGAAGTGTTTTCACATTGAAGTGCCTACTTAGAAGTGCTTTTAGCACCAGTATGCCACCCACTGGTTACCTGGAGTCTTGATGACCATGAAAGCTTTGTCACTAGCTCTAACATCCTCCAGAAGTTACTCAAGACCTGCTTTACTCTGCAACATGCAGCAACAGTGCTCAGATAGGAAAAAAATTCCTCATTTTTAGCATTTTGGAGTCAAAAGACCCTGTGTGGGAATTGAAATTCCCCATACTGCAGTTACTTCAGGTCTTTCTTGGGCATGTGGTAGCTCAGACTTGCAGGCACTGGACTTAATAAGAAATAAAATTAATTCTGTTCCTCCGAGTTAGTTGGTTTTCTGGAAAAAAACATATATCAGATTTTTTCAGCATGCAGCTGAGCACAAGTAACATTAACAGGAACAATGGAGGAAGACATGAGATTTCTCCATCATCAATGCTCACTGCACACTGCCGCATAAAACAAAGGTTTCCAAACCATTTGCTTCCAGATACCAATTTGTTAGTGCTACGTTCAGTTACTCTGCAGAAGTCTTGGTTACTCACCGGTCCCTGGCTGCCTGGGATACATCTGTCATAGAACTTCCTGGAAAGAAAGGAACACATTGTTTTTAATTAACCCAAACTCTTTTATCTAGTGGAAGGAAAGTAAAAGGTGTCCACGCTGTAAAATGCAACAGCTTACATTAAAAACACACACAAGCTATGCTGCAGTTGATCTGGCTGCATGGGGAGCTCTGAGCTTCCATGCTGACTGCCTTCACCTGACTGCAGCATACCCTTTCTTCCTACAGCTCTTCTTGCAATCACATCTGTCTTCTTCAACCACCCAATTTGTTGTTCCACTCCCAAATCACAAGAAGTTTTATTTCTAGAAATACGGTGACGTGGCTGCACAACAGGTAATTGTATTGACTGAAAGAACCAAGTTTCACACAGGACCCTGTGCAGGGTTCTCAGCCTGCTGCGCTCACTTAGGCTTATCTAACTTCATGCTCCTGGGAAACCTATGGAAAGCGAGAAGTCCAAGCAGCTGTGGACTTGAGAATGCAAACTCAGGATTTCAGCAGGGTTCAGACTGAAAGTGAAGGTTTCCTCTGAAACTTCCAGTATGCATTATGTCATGGACTTTAATTACACAATTACTTATCATCTACCACACCCAGAGCCTAGCAGCTTTGGCTTAAGCACATGTAAACCCTTAAGCTGGCCTTCAACAGTAAGCCCAGTCAGAACTCTATGCTTGATAACATAACTATTTCTTCCCTCCTGTGTTACAAACAAGTAGAGGAAACTAAATCCAAAGCTGTAAGCTAGCTGTTTCATGTTAAGAACTGCTGAAGTCTATGCAGTTTAGACAGCCCTGAGTCTCTTTGCTGCAGGAAGGCTCCAATTAAACAATACCAGGCTTTAAGAGGCTAGGGATCAGTCTGCACTGATTTTCAGTCTGCAGTCTGTATCTCTAAACATGGGTAATGGCAGGTCTTGGCAGAATACCACACAAGCAATTAGCTTGTGATTCAATCTGAAATCAGAGCTGATAAAACAACAACAAAATAAAATCCCAAACAACCTACTTCATACAGAGCTTGGCAAGAACTACTAGCTATTAAAAAAGAAAACTGGCAGTAAAAAGGAAATTTTAAAATTAAGTCAAATTGGGTTACAAACGAGGCTATTAATCTTCTCACTGGCATGTGCTGCTTTCTGGTGAATGGTTTAATGACGTTACTACATTTCAGTCATGGGCATTCTAGTTAGATGTACACCAGTAGCTCTGTGTTTTCTAGGTTTAGAGATGTCTAGCCTTTGGACTGAAGGCAGAGTTGAGAAACTTCAGATTCAGATAGGTTTTTGGAGAAGAGTAAGACATAGAAAAGAGTTTTAAAGGAAAACACCTTTCTGGACTAGTCATGAACATTGCAGCAATAGGCATAGGATGGAATCTTTGATGTACTTGAAATCTCCAAGCCCTCCCAGATAAAGCTGTGTTATGTCACTTCAACTGTAAATAATGACAACCTCTCTCTCGTATAGCTTCATAAAGAATCTAGAATTTGCTTATAAAATGGAGCTACCTGTTTGGGATCAACTGATGATGAGCTAAGCTCTATCTCTTGGAAGCAGAGAGCTCCTACATACCTTTAGAGACTCCTGGGTTCACCTGTAAGTAGGAAAGATCATCATCCTGCTCGCTGGCTGATTGTTCAAGGCTAAGAATCTGCTTGTTCTGCTCACTGCTGAGCTCATCATTCTCTACTTCCAGTTTTTTGTCCTCAGAA